TATATAATAGCACAGCTTCATTTGAATACTTCACAATCTAGAGGTCTTGCGACCATCCTAGTGAAGGCTTGGTCGAGAATAAGATGTCCTAACTTCTACTTCGTAAATATAAAATTTTAATTTTAACTTTGTTATAATTCATAATTTTATCTAATAAAGAACTAGAGAAAAGACCTCTTTTGATAAAAAAAAAAAAAAAAAAAAAAAAAAAAAAAGTAATTCTAACTTCATCAAAACAGTAGTTCTAGCACACCTGGCTTTAACATTCCTCCAAATCAGCTGTAAATTACTATTGTTTCAAAATAACACCCTGGCACATACTCTAAATAATACGCCTGTGCTCAAAATAACATGCCAGATGCGTTATTTTGCAAAAATATAGTAGTTATTAAAATGTAAGCCCTGATTCGATAGTATAATGCTAAAACATCTATGCTTGCATACTATCTCTTCATAGATGAACTTGGCAACTTTACTCAAATTTGCCCTAGCAATTGCATAGGCCTCAGACCATTTGGTTATATAATTAGTTGCAACAACAATATATTTGTTAAAATAAGACATTATAGGCAATGAGCTAACTATATTGATACCTACTCTATAAAAAAGAGCTTTAACAGATATCAAGTAAAGAACTTCTTTAGATTTTCAATTTTCATGCTGCTGATATTCTTTGTATGTCTTTACATATTTCTGTATATTGTTGTACATTTGGGGCTAGTAGTAACATTTATGAATTTTGTTGAACATAATATCCTTTTTTATTAGATAATTATGGACTAGACTTAATATCTGCTCTACTTCTCCTTCTTGTAAGACTTTAGTAAGGTTTTTTTGTCTTTTGTTTTTCTTATATAAACTTCTCATCTTAACTTAGAAAAACTGACTTTGTTTCTCTAGTTGCTTCTATTGTCGATTTTGATAGATTTGAGAGAACTTTCAATACTGTAGATAATTCATCAATATAGTATATACTTGAGAATCCATTTTTATTTTGAGAGTCATATATTTGGTCTTTTTTAGTTTTAATCTTTGCCCGAATACCAACAACCTGGGCTGAATTGAGCTTAATATAAGGTTTAAATTTTTTTGTAATATTAGCTTGTATTTAACTTCAATTCTCTGTGTTTTGTTTTCTTTTTACTATGTTCACTTTCTACTATACATTTTTATTTTCACTTCTGCAAGAGTTTCCTTTCCAGTATTTATTAATATAATTAATACTCCAGTATCTTATCAACTAGTTTTTGCCTAATTTTTATAAATTTTAATTGTATCTAGTATCAATAGTTTAACAAAGGTTTTCTAAGCCTAAACTTTCAGTTTTATATATGTTTTTTGTTTTTCTTTACTTATTTTTCGATTTCTGATTTATTGAAATTTTTTCTTAATCCTAATCTAGCTATTCAGATTGTGTTTTTTATTGGTATTGCTTTCTGCAATAATTCTCTTTGTTGTATAACTTGCAATGTTCCAGAAATTTTTTTGGCTATAGTATTTTATTCTGTCTAGTTTTTTTTTTTTGAAGAGTGTAGTTGTATTTTAGTGATCTTTTTTTTTTTTCTTTTTTTTTCATTTGTTAGATAATATCAGGATAGCATTTTGCTACAAGCATATACAGTCGGCCCTCTCAGAAACACTCTTGTCAAAACTGATATTCTGCCAAAATCAGTTAAAAATCAATTCACCATACCCATTCTATAAGTAATAACTGATAATCTGCTATTTCCAATATTTGATAGCCTTTATGTATAAATTTCTGATTTTGTATAAAGTAAGGGAAGTATTATGATGTAGTTAACTTCTTCTATAAGATAACTTTATAAAATTAACTTACAATTCATAAAATTTTAATAAATATTTATTTTAAAGGTTTTAAAATTTTATTTTTTTATTTTTTTTAAAAAACTTTATATAAAAAAAAAAAAAATTCTATAATAAGTAAATTTTTTTTAAAAAACTAGCGATCTTCGGGCTGTAGACCAAAAATGACACACAGATCTAGATAAGTAAAATTAATTATCTAACTTGATTAACTTGATTTTTTTTTTTTTTCGATTAATCGTTGTTTTTCTTTTTTTTCTTTTTCTGCTTGTTCTTTTTTAGCCTCCTGTTCTATTTGTTTTTGAATTGAATTTCTTTCTTGTATTTTATTTCATCAGCCTTTTTTTTAGCAGCTTCTTTCACATCTTTTAACAACTTTAACGACGCTTCATTAGTAAGAAGCTGAGAAAAGGGTATAGTCTTTTGCTTTTTTCTTTTAGGCACTTGGGACCCAAGTTGATTTTTAGCACCAATCTTTGGTTCTTCTTTGACTAGATTCGAACGAGGCAAAGGATACTTTAGGATCGTTCGTAAAGATGTTGTGCCGGGATTTTTGAAATTTTTCAATTCTTTCTTAGCCGCTTTCAACTCGGCCTTTAACTCTTTAACTATTGCATTGAGATTTTTGGCTTTGGATCTTGAGGTAGTATAGAGATGTACACTATTTGAGCTTGGCTTTGAAGAAAAAGATGATATAAGAAAAGACTATGGAGATGGTGCCATAGAAGAAGACTGTGAGGATAATGCTGTGGGAGAAGAAGATTTTGAGGATGATGCTATGAAAGAAGAAGACTTTGAGGATGATGCCGTGGGAGAAAAAGACTATGGAGATGATGCCATAGTTGTAAAAGGGGATTGTGCTGAAGAAATTTCAGTAACTAACGAAGGATCAAGACGGTCAGGGCTAATTGCACTGGAATTAAAGAGCCATATTCCAGTTGCTTTAAAGGCATTACAAATTGCCGAAGGTGTGTATGTTTTAATATATGCTGGACCAAAAACCTTGGAAAACGGTACTTAGTTACAAACTCCCCATTATTACTAACACGAAGTTGTTCACAGCCTTTAGTGTATGCATCTTTAAGCTATGTAAAAGGAAGTTCAGCAGGTTGAAGTATATAGGTGGTGTGGGGTGGGAGCATGTATAGAAGGATATTGTTGTTATGACAAATGTTGACATTGATGTAGCTAACATGACTTTTGTACCCATCAAGAATCAAAAGAATAGGACGTGCAGGCAGGATTGAGCGAATAAAATGCTCAATATACTTTTGAAAAAGGGATTCTCACATATATCCAGTTTCCATAAATCCCATAACCGAACCAGAGGGGGCACTGTCTAAGAGGCCTGGAATTATATGCTTTCTTTTGTAAATAATGAGCGGGGATGTATGTTCCAGCAGCAGAGATGGTAGGACACACAGAAATATACTCATTAGAATTTCCATGAAAAACTTGATGGACCTGTTATTAGGGTAAAAAACATAGTTGACAAATTTTAATATTATTTAAATTATTATTATTATTATTATTTAAATATTAATACCAAAATTTACTTTACCTGTCATGCACCCTTTTCTGCAAAGTTTAAGAACAAAACATTTTTCGTCCATGTTCCAGATTCGATCAGCAGTAAGTAAATATTTTTCAATAATTTCTTTAAGCTTTTTAAAATAGTCATTAACTACAATAGGGTTTGCCCTTTGTGCTCTTGCTTCATTCAAAGCCTGAGGAATACAAAATGAAAGCTCAGGATGGTCCCTCATGAAATGTTCCCACCATGACTTGCCTGGTCCATTCTCGTTAAAGGGATGTAGCCTTTTACTTTTTTTGACTATTTCTATTACGCAATAATTTATACCCATTCTAGTTAGTCCAAAGCCAAGTCTTTGCATATTTAAGCAATAACCAACTAATTGTTGTTCTTCATAGTCAGTTAAAATATTAGCAGGACCCGGATGATTAAAGAATTGTTATTCTTAATAGCACATCTTAGTGTTGCTTCATAAACACCAAATTTTGCAGCGATTTTTCTTTGGGAAATAGTTGAATAATTTTCAAGTTCCTTAAAGGCACTTTTAATAGCATCTTGTCGTATAGACCAATCACTAGGTGAAGAGATGCTGATTTAATTTAAGGCACATTTGATTTATTTGATTTGATTTATTTAAGTATACAGTATATTAAGAATGATTAGATTTTATTTAAGTACAGGTTGGATAAGTATATTTATTTATAATATATTGTTACTTTTATGATTACTAATGAACACGCTATATTAATAATTAAATTTTATTACTGGCACATAACACGTTTTCACAATAACAATATACAAATAGCAAACCTTTTGATTAACACAGGTTGAATCAATGAATATCGGGTGTATACTGGGAGACAAGTTTCTTGTTATGTACCTAATAGTCTGCTATAGATTAGCCAAATAACTGCTAAATAACTTTTTAATATTCTACTAATATGCTACTGTTATTCAGCAGTTATTTGGTGGATCTATAGCAAACTATCGGGTACATAACAGGAAACTTGTCTCCCGGTATGCACCTGATATTTATCGATTCAACCTGTGTAATCTATACAATATTATTACAAAATAACACCCCAAACGTTATTTTGTGATAATATGGTATAAATGCTTCTTTTTGCCGGTGAGGCTTATGCTTGCCAGAACTTAATATTAGTGATAAAACGGTAACTTATAGGATGCCGACAAAACTTTTGGCATTTCAATGCTTCAAACTTTCTTCATCATACTGATTACACATTTCTTTAATAATCACATTAAAAAAAATCTTGTAGCCTATATTATCCAAGTAATATCTGATAAATTGCTGATTTTTCCCTGCTTGGTTTTCAATTTAATATGTTTGGTTAAGATTTATGTTTGGTTTGATTTTATTATACTTTAAGTTGAGAGAATTATTTGTAGTTTGATAGTAAGTGTACTTCGGTTTAGTAATGTAATTTTTATATGGAATATCTAAATTAGGTACAAATAATTTAACTTATACTTAAAAACAATAAAGAATTGCAAACATGTGTTTTGCTTATTTTGTTTGGTGTATTTTATTTATATGAAGAATCACCAATGAATTTAAATAAATTAATCCAAAATAGACATATTAACATCCTACTCTTATTATATTATAATTAAAGTTTTTCAAAAAAACATTATTTATTTAAATTTAAGTAACATAGCAATAGATCTTAAAAACATGAAAGATGCATTATGAACAACTTTTTAAGACACCAAGTTATTTATATCGTATTTATATTATTTTTTATACGTATTACTTTTATGTTTCGTGAAGATCCAAAGAAATACTTGGCTATGTTTTAATTGAAACTGTGGTATCTCGTGATCTGATTTTCAGAATCATGTAAATTTGGCACCATTTGATTCGTCTCATCGAGACGAATCAAATGGTGCCAAAATCGTTCAATTCAGGCCAAGAGATTATGAGATATTAAAAGTGTATCATAATTGGTCCTGCGTCATAATACCCCCTCTTACCTTATGTATTTATTCAATCAAATTGCATAAAATTGATATAGATGGGTTCGTTCATAATGATTACATGATCAGAATATTGTTCTTAAGATTTTTCTGTCTATAATATAACGTGATTAAACAGCTCCCAGGTCTTCGAGGTCACAAGTATTTCCATTTTTCGCTCCGACTAGACCCCAGAAATTGTTTAATCTTGCAATTTGTTTGTGTCCACATTTTACATAATATTGTCAAATCCGATTATCTTTCAAAACCGATACTAAACCTGTCTACCATATATACTAGTTCTGAGATGGCCAACTATATTTAGATCTTCTTAATTCTAATAAGTTTGAGAATTCTAGCTTTGTATAAGTATTTGGCAGACTGAAGTTTCATCTTGGTTCACTTTTCCCTTCAAGTAAATATATCTGAAAGGGTTAGTAACTCATTTTATACTAATATTGTTTTTCTGGATTTACCAGATAAATTTGATACCTTTAAATCGAGCCCACAACTTGCTTTATTTTATCTTAACTATCCTCGCTCTAATGTCAGTTTTGTCTAGTAGTTTTTTTTTGATTATATGTAGTATACTAAAAAAAAAAATAGTTAGGTACTAAAAGTATTGATACTATAGTTACTAATAAAAGAAGTTTTTTTTCATATTATGTTTCTAATTTTACTGTTGCTTTAGTCAGTTCTTTATAGTATACTAATAATTTTACCTTCATAGAGAATCATAGTATAATTGACTCCCTCTAAGTGTATATTGCCAGAACCAGTACTTTGATCTGCATTTAAAGAGAATCTGCAATTAGAGAAAAATTTAAAATTATTAAAAATTTTATTAATAAAAATAATAAAATTTTTAAAAATTAATAACTTTTGATCTATTAATCCAATTTAGATAATTTAACTACCAAAATAATTCTCTTATAGAGTTGTTTCTAATGAATCTAAAATTAGCTAAATTTAATTATATGATTTTACTTAAGATTGTTTATAATTTGTATTATATTTACTACAGTAAATATAACATAAAATATTAATAATCTCAAGATTATGTGATCAAATTTGGTTGATTTTAGGTTTATTAAAATCATCTCTATGAGAGGATTATTTTGGTAGTTAAATTATCTAAATTGGATTAAAAAGATTTATTATTTTTATAATAATAATTTTTATAAAATATTACTATATATTATTATATATTTGAATTTTGCTATTTATCACCACTAATGATTATCACCAGTGTTGCTATATCTCAAAAATGTACTAAGTAAATGGAATTAGATCTTCTAAGTAAAAATGTTTAGAATCCTCAAAAATCTCACAAAAACTGAGATTGGGCCTTATCAGGCCTTATAGTAATTATATATATTATATAAAAAAACAATAATCTCTAATTTCTAACCCTAACTAATCTTAGGACTGGTGATAATCACCAGTGGTGATATGTAGTAATTTTCTATATATTATTAGTTTATATTATAATTAAAAGAAATAAAATAGAGAGACCAATAAAGAATCTGAGTAAGAAAATGGTCTAAATGCAGGGTATTGGGGTTGCTAAAATCAAAACAAGAGCAAAGAGTACATAATAGGTATCTAATTAGGAAAATTGATGCTTAAGAAATGTCTGTAGAATAGCAGCACCCCAAAAGGTGACATGAGATATGAATACAAAATAGCAGGTCAATATGTACTAATTAGGAAAAAGTTATAGAAACAAGTATGTAAATATATGTATAGAATATATACCACTGTATTAGGTTTATCTCAAGAATAGACTAGGTCTATATGGGTTAGTAAGTTCTAAAGTAGATGCTAAATTCAATATAAGATGATACCAAAATCTACATAGTTTAGTGAGAAAACTCTTTGGGTTAGAGTGCTAATAATGGTAATTAGAACCAAATGGTTTAAACAGATACCCCATAGTTGGGGTACAGATATGGCAGATAGTGTGAAACCCTTAGCATAGCACTAACATTTCAAGCGGATCACTTAAATTAGGCACCAAAAGTGTATATGTAGCTTGATGTATCATCATTGTAATTACACTATAAAACATTGTCTATACTTTAATAAAAAGTCCCCAGGCCAATGAGATCATCTTAATACAAAAAAAAAAAATTAAAAGGAATAAAATATTTAAATTTAATTGTTTTATTATCTAAATAAATATTCTCAAATTTGATTGGTTAATATATTAAAAATATATTTAGAGAGAATATTTATATATATAATTTAAAAAATAATCTACATTTAGAGAATATAGAACATGTATTTATTTTATAAGTTTCAACTTGGGACTAGACTATTTTTATGTATATAGAGAAAATATATATCTAGAAAATATACACTTAGAGAAAATCAACTGTATTTCCAATCAATGTAAGTATCAAGAGATTGGGACTATTCTTCTGAGTTAAGATCTATATCTGTAAATCTAAAAAATGAGTTATTATATTCAGTCTCATTCTAGCTTTGGTTGAGAGTTAAATAGATATTATAATTCTCATAGCCATCAATGCCTTTTTCAAATTCAAGTTCAGTAGCCAGTTCACCCTATTGGGGTATATCAATTAGATATACTTTGTTCAGATTCATAAATTAAGTGATAATCTATTTGTTACTTGGAGAGAATCTGCAAAATTTTATAAGTAAAATTTACTATTAACAAAAATATAACAAGCCTAAATCTAAAACTTTTTTTACTAAAACAATTAATCTTGTCAATTAATTGAAAGTTATAAAGCTCATCAAAATGCATTTAATGGTAGTAAGAATGTCAAAATCGGCCTAGTAGTTTTTGAGATATCTTTAAAAAACATCTCATACACATATAAAATTTTTTAATTGATAATCCACCAGTCACCTGGTACATAATTATAGTATAATATAATGCAGATTACTATAAATTATATAAGCAGAAAATGTGGTGATTTTTTGATAATTATTCAAAGAAAACATTTTTTGTA